CTAGTGCAAAGGAGGCAAAAAATTTGAGATGGCATGCTGATGAGAGGATAGACGATGGTATGCTCCGACATCCCGGTGATTCCCCTCAATGGAAGAAAATAGACCACTTGTTTCCTTCCTTTGGAAATGATCCAAGAAACATTAGGCTCGGTCTTTGTACGGACGGGATGAATCCATATGGTAGCCTAAGCAGCAAGCACAGTGCATGGCCAGTTTTATTGGTTGTTTATAATCTTTCTCCCTTATTATGTATGAAGCGCAAGTACATCATGTTGTCTATGATGATCTCGGGGCCGAAACAACCGGGAAATGACATAGACGTCTATCTGCAACCATTGATTGAAGATTTGAAGATGTTATGGGAGGAAGGCGTTGATGTATTTGATGCATATAAACAAGAATCATTTAAGATGCGTGCTATGATTTTTTGCACGATAAATGATTTTCCTGCTTATGGAAATTTGTCCGGTTATAGTGTTAAAGGGCATAAAGCATGCCCAATATGTGAAGAAGGCACTTGCTTCCATCAGCTCGAACATGGGAGAAAGACGGTGTACCTTGGTAGTCGAAAGTTTTTAAAGCCGGACCACCCATACCGTCGATTGAGAAAAGCATTTAATGGTCGTACCGAGTATGAAAGTGCTCCAGATGCGTTAAATGGCGAAAAAGTCTTTGATAGAGTTAAAAACCTCAATGTGAGGTACGGTAAAACACAAAAGCCAGGCGAGAGAAGCTTATGGAAAAAGAGATCTATCTTTTTTGATCTTCCTTATTGGGACAAGCTCGACGTACGTCATTGTATCGATGTGATGCACGTGGAAAAGAATGTGAGCGATAGTCTTATAGGCACACTTCTTAATATACAAGGCAAGACAAAGGATACATTGAATGCTCGAAAAGATATGATTGCTATGGGAATACGAGGGGAGTTGGCTCCGGTGCCTCAAGGTAGGAGAACTTATCTACCTCCAGCATGTCACACACTATCAAAGAAGGAGAAACAAAGTTTTTGTGAGTGTTTACGAGGAGTGAAGGTGCCCCAAGGATATTCATCCAATATAAAGCAGTTGGTGTCGATAAAAGAATTAAAGTTGCTTGGGTTGAAGTCTCACGACCATCACATACTAGTCCAACAACTACTTCCAGTGGCTATTAGAGGTATACCAAAAAAAGTAAGATGCACTATAAGTAGATTGTGTTTCTTCTTCACATCTATTTGTAGCAAGGTCATTGACCCTCGTGTGCTGGATGATTTGGAGAATGATGCTGCAATTATCTTGTCTCAACTTGAGATGTACTTTCCCCCTGCTTTTTTTGATATTATGGTACATCTAGTCGTTCATCTAGTGCGAGAGATACGGTTATGCGGCCCTGTGCATTTGCGATGGATGTATCCATTTGAACGATACATGAAAATTTTGAAGGCTTATGTGAAGAACCCGCGCCGACCTGAGGCATCCATTGTTCAAAGATATGTTGCAGAAGAGGCTGTAGAATTTTGTAATGAATATTTATCACAGTCAAAATCTATTGGCATCCCTAGTTCTCGCCACAAAGGAAAGGGGTCTGGTAAAGGGACTATCGGGGGACAACTTAAGAGTGTTGATCGTGAAGAAATGATACAAGCACATACATATGTTCTCAATAATACTCCTGAAGTGCATCCTTACATAGTTGCACATAAGGCACTAGTAAAGCGACAAAATCCTCGAGAACCTGAAAGGTGGTTGGTGCAAGAGCATAACAGGACATTCTTAACGTGGTTTAAGAATCAAGTTTTAAATGATGATACTGCTTCAGACACAATCACGTGGTTAGCTGGTGGTCCTAATTTTTATGTTAGATGTTGGCGTGGATATGACATCAATGGGTACTCTTTCTGCACGAAAGAAAGAGATGATAAGAGTACTACGCAAAATAGTGGTGTTTCTGTTGTGGCTGAGTCAATGCATTTCTCTAGTTCAAAAGACAAAAATCCACTATTAGCCGCAAGTTCTTATTATGGGGTTATTGATGAGATATGGGAAATTAGTTACATTAAGTTTACTGTGCCCGTTTTAAATGTAAATGGGTTGATGGTAATAATGGTGTGAGGGTAGACGAGTTGGGCGTCATATTGGTTGACTTCAGGAGAGAGGGTTATAAAAATGAACCGTTTGTCATGGCATGCCAAGCAAAACAAGTCTTTTATGTTTATGATCCGAGTGACCAACATTGGTCGGTGGTACTCCAGGGTAAACGACAACATGTTGATGATACTGATGAGCCAAGTCTTGATATGTTTGAATTTCCTTCATTATCACCAAGGTTGTCCGTAATAAACGAAGAAGATGAAGCGGACGATGTCCATGCCATACGAGACGATCATCATGAAGGAATTTGGGAAAACATACCCATGAATGCATAGTATATTACGTAAGTATATATATATATATATTTATATATATATTTTAGATGAAGAACTAAAGGCTAAAATAGTGAGTGTTCAACAATAAAGCTGCTTTTCTTCAACATTAGTATGTTCTTTTTGTTGTATTATGACTTTTATGTGAGAAAGTGTATATTATATAAAATTGTCTTTTTACTAACTTAATCAATGGGAACCCACTATCCTGACATTTCTCTTAAATTAGTCCTTAAAATCCTGCTGATTCTTCTACCGTTGGAGTGTGTTATAAAGGCTGCTTTCATTTTAGTTTCTTAAATTTCATATGTTGCATCTTGTTCAGCATTTCCTTGAAGACCTTTATAAGATATGTGTTGTTTCTATATTTCTTAATGCCTAGAGTAAAACATGAAAATGCAAACATACTATATTTTAATCCTTTTTTACTTTTTGTGTTATTTCTACTGTGTAATATCTTTTTGTCACTTTTGTGTAATGTTTACTGTAATATATTTTTCTTACAACATGCATATGTTTATATATATATATATATATATATATATATATATATATATATATTCATCTTTCAAACCTCTAGACTTCTTTTATTTCCCCTTTTTGTTGTTTTTTTTCTCTTTATAATTGGAAACCTGATTCTTTCATTAAAACACTTGTGGGCACTAATAGGATTGTAATTTCATATTAAGTCCGTTCTAAATTATTTAAACTTTTATCTCATATTATTAAATTTTATCCACTTTTGATTCTCATTTTTATGCTTACATTGCAGATCATTGTTTGGCTTAGCAACAGATCGTTCCATGCATATGCTGATTTTTCTTTTGAGAGCACATCATATGTAAGTTTTCACCTGCTACTCTGTAACTTCATAATTTAACAGATTATATTATGCAGTTCCTATTTTGTAAAAAATGCAAAAGCTTGTAACTGAATGAATATTGTTTAATGTCTCGTAAGGATACTTTCACGATGTTTTTCTGGTTCTGACTGGTAGTAATGATTCTTGAACACGAAGTTTTCTGGTTCTAACTGGGATTGTTGATGCTTATTTTTGTCAACTGAATAATATATTTCTTATGTAGCTTGCACGACTCTTTCTGGTTCTAACTGGAATAGTTGATGCTCGTTCATATCGATTAGATATCCATTTATTACTAGTTACGAAGAAAAAAAAAACGCACAACGAAAAAGACCATTTACAAATCAATCCTTTAAGCTTTAAGAACTGCCATTAAGTCCACAAAACTTTTTCTGTATGGTTTGGTTTGTCTTCTAAAGCTGTCCAAGTTATGGACATGGCTTGAGTTACAGGTAAGTCAAGTGGACAAAAATACCCTTACATATTGAGAAAAAGTTCCTTACTTTTGTAGTTATGTTTCAAGATGAACCTGGGAAAACTGACAAAGAGACTTCTTACTTTATTTCCCTTACTTTTACTGCTCTAACCACATGCATGTCTGACAATACTGTTAAGCTTGAAACATTGAAACTGTCAATGAACTAGAATTAAGTTTTAAGCTAGACAAATTCGTAATGCCCGTACTAGGAAGCAAAAGGCAGTAAATGAAACGAACATGTGAGCTGAAGATATTAACCATATCTACACAAAAACTGGAAAGAAAAATCAAGCATTTTCATTTTTGATTTTGATAGAAATTACCTTCTCCTACCTATTCTATTACAAAATCTCCTTCACTGATTGATTTGCTGCCACAACACCCCAACCATATTTTTCTGTCTGATAGGTACCGCAGACTGTCATTTATACACGAAGCAGAAAACCAATTGCAGGATTGAGTTAAAAAGAAAAAAGAAAATAAAAATTTACCTTCACTATTTGGATCCTTTTCACTTTCTGAAAGGGTTTGTTGGAACAATTTTTGGAGCAACGACAATCTTTTGAGCAACTGATGCACTGAACCCTGTGGTGCAAAAAATAATCGGATGAGCAAAAATAATGCGGTGAAATCATGTAAACTATGTTTACATCATCTTGTGCATGTTTACAAAAGAAGGTACAAAACATATCACTTTAGGAAAGAGAAAAAATTAGGTCATTTGTTTATCAAATTTATTTCCCTTTTGTTTATATCATGATGATTTCAGAGTGATAGGCTGCAATAAATGTTGTAACGGAAATGCACCTGAATATGGTTGTATGGAAAATCTGAACTTTTGATTAATTATCCCTCCCTATATATGATTTCTTTACATGATTTAATTGTGGAAGGAAATAATTGTTGTTCTTTTTTCTTGTTTTGTGTTTGGTCTCATGTTTTATTCTTGTGACAATAAGTTATGCCTTGGTGATTTTCGGTGCAGACTTATTAAGTAAAGAAGCTCTTAATCATACAAGTGGGAACTCCTTTTGCCATCTTAAAGAAGACACCAGAAACATCAAGGTAATTTAATCACTTTTTACTCATTGCTATTAGATGCAATTTCATAAGTTCGAAAACTAGAAATAATAATAAATAAATAAATAAATTAGAGTCAATAATATGGTTTTTATCTAACTTATGATTTTAAATAATATATGCACACTCATAACTTATAAAAAATCGATTACTAGTTATGAAACGTGTATGCAGGAATGGATGATCTTTCTGAAAATAGTAGTCAAGATGGCTTCGACAAGGAAACTCACGTCAAAAAAGGTCGCAAAGCGACACGGATGAAAGACATACAAACATCAGACGGAGAAAAGAAACTTGTTACATTCAATCGTTATTTTGAGGCAAACGGGCCAGATCCAAAAACTAAGAGCAAGTTTAATAGCTACATCGCCCTTCTAGGACGTAGCAAAGTCAGCATCTTGATACCGGACTGGAGAAAAGTTACTGATAGGAATAAAGAGCAAATTTGGCAAGCTTTATCGGTATGATATATCTATTTTATGAAAACACAATAGTTGGTAATTGAATGCTTCAATGATTTATTGAGTTGTACCAGTTATGTGATTAAAAATTTAATGATTAAATATTAATTATTTTTTTTTTTTGAATCTTTATATTTTCTAGGAGCAGTACGAATTTCCAGATAAAGAGAAATTGAGAAAGAGAGTGTTTTCACGTGCTGGGGATGGTTGGAGGGCTTTCAAAACTAAGCTCAGTAGAGAATACATATTTGGAGAAAAGATTGGTTTGCTCCCGTATGATGATGGTTACCCTTTTCTGGATGCAGACACTTGGAAGGCTTTTGTTGTGTCCCGTCAAACTCCTGAATTCTTGGTAAGTTAATATTATCATGAACATAAATAATTTCTAGTCTCTCGTAAATTTGGCCATACAATTAAAGTTAAATTGTTTGGGGACATTTATATTCAAAAGTGCGTGAAACTATTGTTTCTGTTAACTTGTTTGATCTTTATGTAAGGATTTTTTGAGAAAAAATAAATGATAAGTGGATATTTGGGATGTTGAGTTGTTTTTCTTGATTGTGTTTTTTAATCTATATGTATGTAGGAAATCAGAAAAAAGGCTCAGGAGTCACAATCATATAATCTAAATCCGCACATATTATCTCGTGGAGGCTACTGGCTTTTGATGCAGAAGATTATGGACGAAAAATATAGGGCAAGAAAAGAGGCCTCCACTGATCCGTCCGAAATTATTCCACCTCCATCTCCTCCTTCTCGTCATGAATTATGGAAAAGAGCTCGTATAACAAAGAAAGGAGATTATGTCTCAAAGGAAGCCAAAATTGTTGCTGACAAAATTGTAAGTGACGTGTTTTTATATTTTAAGTTCCTCGTACATTCATGAATGGATAAATACTCTTTATAAATTATTCAAACCTTTCATGCAGGATTCTTTAGAAGAACAATGCACTCAGGGCAGTTTCAAACCTGTTGGGAGAAACGATATACTCGCAACAGCGTTAGGAAAGCCGGAGCATCCCGGGCGTGTGAGGGGAGTGGGGAAGGGTGTTGGGATCAAGGACTTCTTTGGGCCATCGAGTTGTTCAAGTGTAGGGAAAGATATGGTCTCGCGAGATGAGATGGAAACTATCATTAGTCGTAGGATTGACGAAGTGAAAGACGAATGGAAAAATGAAATAATGATGATGATCGGCAAAAGCTCTTCGATTGCCCATAGTCCTAATTCTCCGAGGATCCAAAGCACTACAGAGAGTTGTGCTCCAAATGTGTTATCATTGGATGAACTTAACGAGGATAAAGAATGCGAGTTGTATGTGGAGAACCCAAAAAAAATTCTGGTTGCATACGGACGTATCCATAACCTTGGGCCAACCATTCACCACAAGAAGATGAATGAGGATGAAGTGAGGGTTGTCGTGTCACGTGTAGTCGTTGGAGATGCGCTCGTGCCATGCCCGACAGAGGAGGTCACAACTGTAGAAGAAGCGCCAAATAACTTCATTACTTGGCCTCGTAGGTTGGTTAAAGGTGCAAATACTAAGGTAATTAAAAATACTTACAATAGTATCTTTCTGACTCTATAGTCTTAAATGGTTTTTTGTTTCGTACGAGTTATCTAGAATAAAATAAATCATTTTATGAGTAACTCATGAATTTACATTCTCTTGGAAATTTTATATGAATATATTTCTCATTCGTATGATAAATTTCAGTCGAAGCCAGTGACACCAGTACCGATTATCGAACCTGAGACAGATGCCGTGACAACTTTGTGGATGGAGGCACGTTATATAAAACATCCAATTTGCATAAATATGTCGGCGGAGATTTTTGGAGAGAAAAGAGATTTGTACATATTTCAGAAGGACATAATGGAGTTGTTGCAAAGTCAAAAACTTTGCATTTCTATCATTGAATTCTTCAATATGTAAGTATTTCTCATCATTTATGTCTGCTTTTTATCTGCAATTTGAGGTAATAATTTTATATTTTAAATGCTTAATTCAATAATCTTTAATAGTTTAGTATTGTATATACATTATTCACTATATTTGTTTCTAAAAATTATTTATTTTCTGAGCTACCACAGGTATCTCTATAATGTGCTGAAAAAATCCGAGAAAGAAAAAAAATTTGGATTTTTGTGCCCGCTCAAAATTCAAACAAGGGGCAACAGTAAGGAAGAGATAGAAGGGTATATTGCGAGAAGAATGGGAGAAGAAAATTACGAGTGTATCTTTGCACCGTACATTAGCGAGTAAGAATATAAAAACATATAAAATTCACTTTATCTGTGCTTTATTTTTTTTATTAACATTATATAGACATACAAATTAAAAAGTGTACCAATTAAATACATTTATCTTTTGGATTGACAGAGAACACTGGCAGTTGATGATACTATGTCCCAAACAAAATAAAGTGGTTTGGTTGTGCTCGTTGAGAAGAAATCCCAACACAGAGTTGATAAACAAGATTAACAGGTATGTTTTTAAATTGATAAATTAGATCGATTTTGTAGTTAACTTTTCTTTGCTAATTTCAAATATATTATCTTTTACATTTTAGCTTATTTTGTCTTTTAAGTAATATGAATATTTATTATGTTAAAGTGCATTTCGTGCATACTTCATGGTTAAGGGATTACGTAACCTTATAAGAGAGAAGCCTAAATGGGTTCCACTTAAGGTAAATTTATTGGATGATATTAGGTGTTTATATTTTGGAGAGTTATATTATTTCCTTCTTAGTTGTACGCATCGATTTAATTTGTGTAGTATAAATGATGTTTTTATGTTTTTCATACAAGTGTCGAAAACAATTGGGAGAAGAAGCATGCGGATATTTTGTTATGCGGTATATGCTCGAGATTATATCACTTGACATTACCGACTCGTTCGAAGAGGTAAGTTTTTTATTAAAATCAACTTTTTTGATGTATTTGAAATCGCACAATTCAATACAGGTTAATTATAGTGATAATATTTGTTACTGTATCATGTAGGCTTTCAACATTGATGAGCCATATTCGGACGAGGACATTGGAAATATAAAAATGCGGTGGACGAAGTACTTTTTTGAGGTTACTTCATTAGGAAAATAGACTTATCAGTTTACTTGCATTTTATGAATTTTGAACTTTATAATTGTGGTTGCTGACTATTGTTGGTGTAGTGCATATGAAAACTATTTTTTATAACTTGGAGTTGTTGAAATATTTTGGTTGTTAGTATTTGTGATGTGGGTTTCTGTTGAATTGTGGGAATATTCTAAATGTATGACTGTTATTATTTTGTAGTAATAGATTTTTAGATTTACAGGGAAATAAATATATTTTTAAATAAAATTGTTGTAAATGCTTGATTTTACATCGGTTTTTAAAGCTGATGTAAGGAACCGATGTAATAATCCTAACATTTTACATCGGTTTTTATAAAGCCGATGTAAACAGACTATTTCGACATAAAGGTTTCATGTCGGTTTTCATAATAACTGATGTCATTGTAAGCATTATTCACATCGGTTATTTTGAAACCGATGTGAATCCGAGTAATATGACATCGGTTATTCTGATAACCGATGTTACATGCCTTTATTTAACATCGAAACCGATGTTAAATGTCTTACTTTACATCGGTTGTTAAACGGACCGATGTAAAAGGGTTCGATTTTTTCGTTTTTCAAGCCCTATTTTTTCCCATATAACATCGGTTGATGGGCAAAACCGATGTAAACAAGTTCCATTTCATATCGGTTCATAACCGATGTAAAAAAGACATACTTTTAACATCGGTTGTTTCAACATCGGTTGTAAAAATGGGTTTTAACCGATGTTAATATGATTTTTAACCGATGTAAAAAGTATTTTTCCACTAGTGTCTCTTTATTATGATAAAGAGAGTTGGAGAGGTCACAACAATAACAAAGTTATCTACCATATGTTGGTATATAAACCGAGTTGGTTTTGGACTTGGGTTTCGACACAACCCGTGTGACATCGTTCCAGGTACATTGAACCTGGACGTGTGACCTTTCAACCACATAACAGTTTCAAGAGTTATGAGGTGAATTAATGGTGAGTTAAACCTGAAACGTTTTGAAATTAAAACCAAGTCATGAATGGATGTTAATGGCTTGGTGGTTACAAACCATGAATGGTTGTTAATGGAGCCATGAATGGTTGTTAATAGCTTGGTGGTTACAAGCCATGAATGATTGTTAATGGAGCCATGAATGGTTGGTAATAGCTTGGTGGTTACAAGTTTTGAATAGTCATCAAAACTAGCCATGAATGGCCTTTAATGGCTTAGTGGTTACAAAATGAAGAGTCATTCCCCACCTAGGAGGAAGTCCTATAAAGACAGTGTAGAGACTGAATGAGATACGAAAAAATATACAACATTTTCATACAATCTGAATACTCTCAAAGCCTCAGGCATCATATCATAGTGCTCAGTTCTCGTCTTCGAATCCGTTCGCTGGAACTCTGAAGTCTGGTGTGCTACAGCTTCCGAGTGTATTGCCGTTGTATCTTTGGAGACATTACGCACAGACCCGTCAGCACTATATGGGGCGTATTTGTCTTGCGGAAAGATTTCAATCGCCCCGGCTTTCAATCTGTCCGCATTTGAGTTGTAATTTTTTATTTTGTTTTAGTTCATCTTGTACGAACTGAACACTTCAGTCAGTTCATAGGTTCTCGTTGTAATTCAAAACACACTTTGCGTAACAATCGCAAGACAAATATTGTCAACCTACTGAACTGATGGCATCCACCGGAGAAGGATCACGAACTCAACATCCGATCAACCCCGCCGTGGCTAAGGACTGTAAGAGTCCTAAGAAGACTGGGCCAAAGAAGGCACAACCGAGTGCCCTTGTTGTTGAACACGGCCCTGTGCCGGGTGAACTGACTGACTTTGATATGTCGGGTGTGGTGTTTGAAGCCAACTTGGTGGATAACCCAAGAGAGTGGTTCATCGATACTGGTGCCACTAGGCATGTGTGTTCTGACATGGAGGTGTTCTCTGAATACACTCCTGCTACGAGTCGGAAACTTTACATGGGAAACTCCTCCAAGTCTGATGTGGCTGGAGTGGGCACTGTGGTGCTGAAGCTCACTTCTGGAAGGGAGTTGAAGCTGAAGGATGTTCTGCATGTCCCAGACATCCGCAAGAATTTGGTCTCCGGATCACTTCTTGTTGAGCATAGATTTAGGCTGGTGTTTGAAGCTAAGAATTTTATTCTTAGTAAGAATGGAATATTCCTTGGTCGTGGTTATCTCGACAAGGGACTGTTCAAAATGAATGTAATGGCCGTGAGCCGTGTAACCATTGATAATAAAAAGCCTACTTCTGTTTATACTGTTGAATGCTCTGATTTATGGCATAACGATTGATTAACTTAGAATTAATTCCTAATTCTAAAATTGAATCACACAAAAAATGTGAAATTTGTGTTGAAGCCAAAATGGCTAAATTACCTTTTCACTCGGTGGAAAGAAAAATACTGAACCGTTGGATTTAATCCATACTGATGTATGTGACTTGAAGTTTGTGCAAACAAGAACGGGTAAAAGATATTTTATAACTTTTATTGATGATTGCACAAGGTTTTGCTACTTATATCTTTTAAGAAGCAAAGACGAGGTTGTGGAAGCTTTTAAAAATTATAAGACCGAAGTTGAAAATTAACTCGGCGAAAAGATTAAAATAATCTGAAGTGATAGGGGTGGGGAGTATGTAGCTCCTTTTGAACAAATATGTTCTGAATATGGCATAATTCATCAAACGACGGCCCCCTATTCTCCACAGTGGAACGGTGTTGCTGAACGCAAGAACCGGACTTTAAAAGAGATGATGAATGCAATGTTGATAAATTCAGGATTACCCCAGAATATGTGGGGGGAAGCTGTTTTAACAGTAAATCATATTCTGAATAGAATACCACCTAAAGGAAAAAATGAGACTCCTGACGAAATGTAGAAAAATCGTAAGCCGTCTTATAAATACCTGAAAGTGTGGGGGTGTTTGGCTAAGGTTTCAGTTCCTGAATCAAAACAAATGAGAATCGGACCTAAGACGGTTGATTGTATTTTTATTGGATATGCGTACAACAGTACTTCATATAGATTTCTGGTTCATAAATCAAACAATCCAGAGGTATCTGTGGGTACCACGATTGAGTCAAGGAATGCTATATTCTTTGAGAATGTTTTTCCTATGAAGGAAAGGGCAGAATGTAGTTCTAATAAAAGAACGTATGAAACTGCTAGTGGTTCTGTACCAGAGGGTACTGATAAAGAACTGAGACGTAGTAAAAGGGTAAAAATAGTAAAAACGTTTGGACCTGATTTTATTACGTACATGTTGGATGATGAACCGAGTTCCATTAAGGAAGCTCTGTCTAGCCCAGACGGACCACTCTGGGAAGAAGCTATAAATAGCGAAATCGAGTCCATTATGCAAAATCATACTTGGGAGTTGGTTGATCTCCCTGCGGGTTGTAAATCTTTAGGATGCAAGTGGATCCTAAAAAGAAAATACAAAGCTGATGGAACGATTGATAAGTTTAAAGCAAGATT